ACCTTATATGGTTTTGTTCAGCCCATAGGACCAGCCTGTCAAAGTCTTTCTGAACCTTTGACCTGTTCTCCGACGTACCTGCTTGTCCCCACAGCTTGGTATCATCCGCAAACTTAATCACTGCACTTTTCACTCCACTCCCTCATCCATGTAATTAAGAAAGACATTAAAGAGCTCAAGCCCGAGCACTGACCCCTCGAGGACACCACTGGAGATGGCATTCCAGGATGAGGCTACCCCATCAATTACAACTCGTTGGGATCGGCCACGGAGCCAGTTCCCAACCCATCTCACTGTAGCCTGGTCTAGGCCAGTACTTTCCAACTTAACTGAGAGGATTTCATACAAAACAGTATCAAAGGCCTTGCTGAAATCTAGGTAGCTGATGTCTACCTCCTGTCCCATGTCCAGGTGGTTAATTACTTGGTCATAAAAGGACACCAGATTTGTTAGGCATGACCTCTCCTCTACAAAGCCATGCTGCTTGCTTTTCAGTACCCCACCAGATTCGATCTTGTAGTTGATGGCCTCCTTGACAATTTTTTCAAAGATCTCTCTCAGGACCAAAGTCAGACTGACCAGTCTATAGTTGGCAGGGTTGTCCCTCTTTCTTTCCCTTCTTAAAGATGGGAACCGCATTCGCCTTTTTCTAGTTGTTAGAGACAACTCCTGATTTCCATGTCTCCTCGAACAGCCTTGCCAGAGGCACTGCTATGAGCTTAGCCAGCTCTTTCAGCACTCTTGGGTGAAGGTCGTCTGGACCAGCCGACTTGAAAACTTCCAAATGATCTAAGAGTGTCTTCACTTGTTCTGGACTGATTTTAGGAGGACTGCTGTCATTGCTGTATTCCCTGCACCCCTGGTCTGGTGATCAGTTCTTGCCTGATTTCAGGAAAACTGATGTGAAGTAATTATTAAGGAGCTCTGCCTTTTCACGGGGATCAACTGTGGGCTTCCCCTCTTGTCTAAGTTTGTCCTAACCATGCAGTTGGTCCAATAAACCATATCACCCACAAAATCCTTGCCTCTGACAAGTGTTAAACACATTTCAGGTAAAGCACATCTATGGGTGCTAACAACTTGGATCAAATTAACTTAAAAGCCTTATTCTACATGCAAACTGTTAACTGCCTGACACAAAGCCAGCAGGTCACAGGTTTTACACTGCAGTGACTATAGAGTATTATGAACAGAGACAACAGAGATGTTAAAATAAAAAAACCCACATAAGTGTATATTAGTTTCTGTTGCTCCAATAAATCATAGCATTTTGCTGCATGTATTCTTTAAAAAGATCTGTAACTATTCTTGTATATTTTACTTAAGTAATTCAAAATGAATTCCTAATTGAATATCATACAAAAGTAAAATTATTGTATATCAAAACAGGCAAACAGAAAAAGGCAATTCAAGAATAACATTTTGAGAAACTGAACATCCTTAAAAACAATAGGACATGCCAGTAAAGACTCAAAATCATGTCTGCATCATTTACATAACAAATACATATGTATCAATTTACATGCTAATAGATTATAAGTATATCCAAATTGTATTAAATGAAAGTCCATTTTGACACCCAGTGCTCTCCAACAGCTAGTTCAGAAATTAAAATACAAAATCAAGTTGCAGCAAGGGAAATTTAAGATGGATATTAGGAAAAACTCTCACTAGGAGGATGGTGAAGCACTGGAGTGGGTTACCTAGAGAGATGGTGGGGAGAGAGGCCTGGCTGGACAAAGTCCTGGCTGGAACGATCTGGTTGGGGATGGTCCTGCTTTGAGCAGGGGGTTGGACTAGATGACCTCCTGAGGTACCTTCCAACCCTAATTTTCTATGATTCTAAAACAAGAAACAGAAAGAATGACCAAGCAGAGAGGAAGTACCAGTATATTGAAAGACCTTCTACTGTTGCTGAATTTAAAGCAACCTGAATAGTGTGAAGAATCCTTACTAAAGCCAAATCAGATTTTATTTTTTCAATGCTTAAACAAAAAACCTGTCCGTCTGAAACATCTGTTAGTATTCAGGTTGCTGCATGTCATGCATACTTGAACGTACTGAAGCACATTTCAGTTTTGAGATATTTAATAGCAAACGGAAAGCATTTGAACGTTCTACTCTCCCCTCTTAAAGTCTTGGAAGAGAAAGTTATATATTCTGTAATTCCACAAAAAAGGTTAACTGATTTAAAATACAAAAGCAAAAAAAAAATTATTTTAGTTTTAGTTAAAACGTGCCTCTCAAATTTTGCTTGCTAATTAATGCATATTAAAATACTATTTTAGCTGTTAATAGTTAATTATCTTCTTAAAGCTGTACACAGCATCTGAATTCTGTTTTTTCCAGGGAATATCCTTTCAGAATTCTAATTTAGTCACAGCATGCAATAAAGAGAGCTTAAATCACTGTTCATGCAGTCAAGTGTTGCTTTCAAAGATCACCACTCAGATGCACACGCTTGCTTCTTTCACAATTCAATTTTAAATGCAGGACAGAATGGAAAATACATTTCAGCATTTGGTAGGAATGTAGAAGACAGCATTTCTACTGAGAGTTACCACTTAAGTTGCAGCTTAAAAAATAAACTTGTAAATAGTTGAGGGTTTAACATGGAACAAAAGATAACAAAATAAGCAACCAATGATTTTAATAGCCTATAATTGCAATTTTAAAGTTCCAAGAAAAGACAAACTAATTAAGGTGACAGATCAACAAACAGTAGCCTCAACAACAAAATTTTTCAAGTTCCCTATTTCTGGCAGTGGTTGGCAGAGACACTACTGTAGGGTGAAATGTCATTACAGAGCACCTGGCCATCAATATATGATTTGATAGCATACTTCCTCAAAATATTCTAATATGGTACACAATGCGCAGAGTGAGCCAGTACTTGCTAGCTATCCCATTGCCTAACTGATGCTTTTAAGAGCTGTCAAATGTCCTTAGAAAATTACTCCTTTTACAAGGGAGACAGCTTTTGTATAAACAAGAATTACTATAAGGCAGACAGAAGAAGATGACCTGCCAATAATGAAATTTTTTCATCAGTGATTCTATGGAACTATGGTCTTGGACCATGTCTTCAGGAAGCCTTCCTCCATAGCTAGTTCCTGTGCTCTGACTTTTTAAGACAATGAAGAAAGTGAAAGTTAGAAAAACAGTATTATGAGCAAGCTAAGTTAGGTCATTTCTTAATTTTTAATAGTCATTTTTAGGCTCAAGAATTTTTAAAAGGTCTACAAATACTGGATTTCTACAGTATTCCTGTGCTGCTCGTCAAACACTTTCCTCCTTAATATAAAAAGTTTTAGACTATTTTAATCAATGGAGCTAGTCTTGTGCAGATCGGTCAATTAAGTTGTTGACAGGTGTAGGAATCTAACATACTTCCTTGAACTCGTGATTCTATGAAATTTATGTAATTAGAAATAGGAAGCAAGCGCCTTGTTGAATTCTGTTGTAGAACAGAAATGTCTTGGACATGTTAGACAAGGTTCTTTGGGTGAATCTGATATCTTTTATTAGACCAACTTAAATAGTTGGAAAACAATTTTTAAGTAAGCTTTCGGGTTCAAAACCCCTTCATCAGGCTGAGTCAGTTTCAGGCCCCCCAGCCTGTCTCTCACCCATTGACTCGCCTGTCTTGTATGCATACCAGCCCAGCCTGGCTTCTTTATTTTTCATTCCATCCAGGAAGAGCACACACCAACTGCTGAAACCTCCTCAGCCTGACGAAAGATTTTTGAACCCAAAAGCTTGATTAAAATTTGTTTTCCAACTATTTAAGTTGGTCTAATAAAAGATATCAGTTTCACCCAAAGAACCTTGTCTGCCTATGTCCTTAGACCAACATGGCTACAACCTACACCCTTGGACATGTTACGCGCTCTAATCTGAGTGCAGGTTTCAAAGGATATTAGCACAGGATATAGTTTAATCTTCTTTTTTGACCTTAAATAACATCTCAAAGATTAAAGAAAATAAACCAAAAAGACAGCTGCAAAGTAGTTTATTGGACAAACACTGGAAGCAACTTCAAAGCAGCAGAGAATTCATCATCGGGGGGACAGAAGGGAAATGGTGAGTTTTTATTCACCAAGGCACCCCCGGGGGTTACAAGAAATAATGGCCACAAGCTAGCAGAGAGCAGATTTAGATTGGACATTAGGAAGAACTTCTTCACAGTTAGAGTGGCCAAGGTCTGGAACGG